AGGGGAATGAGGACGAAAGAATCATATTCGTTGTTTTAGTCAGCATTTTGAGGTCACCTCCTTTGAGCAGAGATTCCTTTTTTGTTTTTAGGTTTTTTTCAATGTTCACTTAATTTTGAGAGAGAGAGAGAGAGAGAGAGAGAGAGAGGAGGAGGAGGCCAGAGAGCGAGGGAGACACAGAATCCAAAGCAGGCTCCAGGCTCTGAGCTGTCGGCACAGAGCCCGACGCGGGGCTTGAACTCGTGAGATCATGCCCTGAGCCAAAGTCAGAGGCTCAACTGACTGAGCCACCCAGGTGCCCCTGAGCAGAGATTCTTAAAGAAGGGCCTTAATGAGGATTTACTGAAGAGATATTTTAAAATTTGAGTGCATAATTCACAACCCAGGCAGTTCCTATTTAGGACGTCTGCGGTCAGGGCTAGTCATGTGCGTCGTGAACATGCTCCCTGGGGTATTCTGATGCTCGGTCCTGACTTTATTAACTACTTCACTGACCTGCCTGTTGGGCTCCCTGGACACCTCTCTCTCCCTTTCTCATTGAGGTTAGTGGGCTCCTTGAAATGTGGCCAGAAATAGCTTTGTGCAAAACCTCTACTCCCCACTTAGGGCTTTGTTACTCGGTTGTTTCTTCCTCCTCTGAATTCTTCCAGCACTTTGTCTGGCTCACGCAACACTTATCACCATGTTCTGTATCAGAGTTATTTATGAACACGTCTTATCTCCCAACACACAAGCCCCAAAAAGGCTGAGACTCTGAGACACCCAGAGGTCACTCTCTGGAGCCCTCGGATTGCATCCCATCTGTAGATCTGTTTTACTTGGCTCTCAGAGTATTTAAAACTTTTTTGATTTCCTTGGCAGCTTTAAAATTCAAGAGGTATTCCTCCCACCCTGCACTGTCCCCCTAAATAGAATGACCACTGTGCAGTGATTTGTTTTTGGTTGAAACATCTGAAGTCCTGTCAACACGGGCCGCGCATTCCTGCATTGCCACTGTTGACTACAGCTGATAGCAGTTTCTGTTTGGGAATGCAGACTGTGTTCTCCAGTTCACCACAGTCCCCACCATGCCCGACTGGCCTCCGCTGGGCTGCTTCTCTCTTTAACATGTCTCTCCTGGCACCTGTTAGCATTTGAATGGGTAACCCCGTTAGCACCTTAGATTTCTACTCCGCACATGCCTTTTTATAGGTGCTTCATAAATATTTGTCAAATGGCAAAAATGAAAAGCTAAAAATGTGCCAGGAGATGGGTACTTAAGTAGGCTTCTTCCTCTAAGCTGCCAGATATGAGTTCATAAGACAAACAAAAAAGAGTCTATTAGACTTTGTATTGCGGCTTTCCTTAGTCAAGAATTATGAGCTAGTTCCTCATTTTCAGGAGCTTTATCCAAATCTCTTTATTTGTCAGCTGCCAAGTAGCTAAGCCATCCTCCCCAAGCTGGAGGAAATGCCACTAAACATGGGGATTTCAGCGATCCTTACCCGGTCTGTCTCCGAGTTTTTGTGTGGTAACCTACTCTTCAGCAGGGCTTTCAAAGTTGGCTTCATGTAACGCTCCACTGGAAAGCCCCTTGGGAGGAGAAGTTCTTGTCCAGGAATATCCCTTTTTACGGCTGCCAGGATCATTATCACATTTTTGTAGGGGATATAAATGGAATAGCGCTTTTAGCACTGATTTTTAAAATGCAATCTCAACTCCGCAGTTTCCTAATTCAATCCTCTCGGTGTCCTCTGTCCCCACATCCTGAAGTACAGGATGTGAACTGCTTGAGAACATTTTCGGAGGTTATGTAAGGCATTTGAAAATTTTATTGGTTTTGTATTTATTTTTCTGGTTACCTGCTCTTCATGGCAAAGGATCTCATTTTTTTTTTCTATATTTAGTAAGAGCCATCGTATTGTTCTCCTTAAAAATAGTTAAGGTAAAAAATTAAGTTTATCGAAAGAAAAATGAGGAAAGAATAGTTCTGACAGAATGAGGCTGTGGAAGAAATGGTGAGGTTGCTATGGGTATGACACTTGTTTGGGAAAGATTGAGTTTTCGGATAAAGTCTGAGGTCTTCTGCAAACTAGATGCTGCCCTTCTCTTTGGTCTCAGCTCCCACCATTTTCTTTCTTTTTTTTTTTTAAGTTTATTTATTTATTTTGAGGGAGAGAGGGAGAGAGAGAGAGAGAGAGAGAGAGAGAGAGAGAGAGAGAATGTGCTGGAGAGGGGCAGAGAGCGAGGGAGAGAGAGAATCCCAAGCAGGCTTTCTGCTGTCAGCATAGAGCCCGACTCAGGGCTCAGCCTCACCAACCGTGAGATCATGATCTCAACCAAGATCATGATCTGAGCCGAGATCAAGAGTTGGACGCTTAACTGACTGAGCCACCCAAGGGCCCCCGCCCCCGCCCCCGTTTTCCTCCCTCCTTTCCCAATGTACATCCTAACACAACAGCAACTTTCTGTTGGTTCTTAAATATACCTGGAGGTTTCCCCACCTGTCACAAATAATTTCACAGGGGCTGAGTCTTCTTCCTGGAGAGCATTTCATTGCTCTCTCTGCTGGAAGGACCCCCCGGCCCCTGCTCCTCACACTGTATCCGCAGTGACCAGCAGAGTGACGGGCAGTCTGTAGATATGTGATGAATGAGTGAATACTCTTCCTGCTTTGGTACCTTGGTGAATTCCTTCTCATCCTTCAAAGTCCATCCAACCCATGAGCTATGCCTCTAAGGACTTACTGTACCCCCCTCAACTAAGACGGGGTTGTTGTTCGCACCTCTGGGTCCACAAAACATCCACACGCCAACATTCTAGTATCCGATACATTGTATCGTAACTGGGGTAAAGGTCTGTTGATCCCCAAAGAGCGTGAGCTTCTTAGATACTCAACTTCCCCCGCCACCACCATCTAGCGTTCCTCCTCTGTTTCCTTTTTAAATTTTTTAAAGTTTTTATTTATTTATTTTGAGAGAGCGTGAGCAGGGGAGGAGCAGAGAGAGACGGAGAGAGAGAGACTCCCAAGCAGGCTCCGCACTGTCAGTGCAGAGCCCGATGTGAGGTTTGAACTCGTGAACCTGAGTCGAAATCGAGAGTCGGATGCTTAACCGACTGAGCTACCCAGGTGCCCCTCCCCCTCTAACCATGATGCTGCTCACACCCAGGGACACCGTCTCCTTCTAATGACATTATTTGTCCAGAGCTGACTGGAGTGGGGAGTCAGGAGGGATAGCAAAGACAATGAGAAAAATGTTATTGCTATTTGTGGAATGTTCAAGCTAAGTATGCATGGCTTGTAGACGTGCCCATAAATATCTTAATAAAAGATGTTATTTCTCCGGAGAACTGTTTGATTTTAAGGTAAATCCTCCCACTTAAAAATCTCCAAAATGATGCTTCCATTTGCAGGAAAAAAAGGAGAAGAACTTCGCCATCTGGTGGCAGAAATCTTGAACTGCAGACCTATTTATTATTCGTTTATTCTTTCTACCGCTCAGCAGCCAGTTACTGACCACCCTACATGCCAACAGTTGACCCGGACAAGTCTCTGTCATCATTTCTCCCTTCACGTATTGATCATTTTCTATGGGTGAATCATATTGTTTGGAGCTTTGGTGTCAACAGTTTTAGGCAAACAGATCCACAGGGAGGCCAGTTTTCTTGGGACCAAGGTCAAACACCGGCATCTCTGGGCCTCATACGAGTTGCTTTTCCGGCCTGAGCAGTAGCGATTTGAGTGCGATCGCTTTTTGGACGTGTCCAGACTTTCGGTGGATTTTGATTCTCTGCTTTTATTCGCAAGGAAGGAGATCTCCAAATCTCTCCAATACTTCCAATGTGGTCCTTCTTTTCAGCAGAAGCATTTGTGGCTGCACCGGAAGAGGAGATAATCAAAGGAGATAATACACTGCTTGACCACCCCTAGACTAAGGGTCATTTATTTCATCGGGTTTCTAGCCTTCAGAAAATCCCTTTGCTTAAATCTCCTCCCCACTTGGTTATTTCCCCTTCCCTCCTTGCATGGGGAAAGAGAAGGTTCTTACAAAGACATTAACTAGTTCTCCCTCCTATTTAATGAACAGATACTTAACGGACCCTTCCTAAGGGCTATGACCACTGCTGCCCACAGGACATACATGGAGGATGCCACACGCATGCCCCTGACACAGTTGGCAGTGTGGCCATTATTAAAGGTGGGTGATGTTGTAGAAGCATGTAGAAGGAGCGCTGGGTCCACTGTGGAGCCGGGTGCGCCCTGGAAAAAGAAACATTGAAGCATAAGCCTCAGGATAAACCCGAGTTAGCCAAGGAGGGAGAAATCTGCACAAATGCAATTCAAGAAAATTGTTGCAGGTGGAGAGAAAAATTCAGTAGGGCCCGTGGGCTCTTGGAGAAGCACCCACACTTCACTCTGCAGGTGATAGGGAACAAGGACAGCTTATGAGCAGGGGGGTGTATGTAAGTTCCTATCTACGTGTTTAGAGTATCCCACCAAGAGACCCATGTTAAGAGATCTGGCTGAGAGCTAAGGCTGCTGGCTCCTCTGGACCTGTCCTAGTTCAGTTTTCTAGGGAACAATTTTGCAGGGCAGCAGTCCAGGAGAGGCCTCGCTGGCATCCCGAAGGCACAGCGCTGACGACGGTGGTCCCACCCCTCTCGCCGTTCTTGTTTTGCCCTTTAAATTCTTGTTGTTCTGTCTTGGCTTTCCCAGGAGTGCTCGCTGTTTTCTGTGTAGTTCCCTCCACGCTTTCCGCGTAATCCAGGCATCTGCCTGGAGCTGCTGTGGCTTTGCGGTTGCTTGGAGAGCCACGGCAACGGGGTCATGAACTCCCCACCCACCCCGGGGAGTCCTTGTATCAAAAAGTTAGCTCCACGCCTAGTTGGAAATAGTCAATACAAAGCAAAAAGTCAACAAACGTTTCCCTGGAGTCTTGGCACCGGAAGATCTTTCTCTTTCTCCTTTTGCTCAATTCCCAGCTGCTTTGCAGCCTGAACTTCTGCCTACCCATCTCCAACGCCCCGTGGCAGCTCCCAACTGGGCTACAGCAGTGCCTGTCCAGGCAGGTTGTGATCCAAGCCCCTACGCCTTCCAGAAGCCCTTCCCCTCTCTGACGACGGGCCGGTGTCCTCCGTAAGCGGACCGGTTCGGGTGCCCGACACACCTAGATTCTGGTTTGAGCTGTTATAGTTGCTAGCTGTGCGGTCTCCAGAAACTTCTCCCACCCCCTTGGACCCGGGTTGCCTTTTCTGTGAAGTGGGACTGGGAATCTCTGTTCTGCCTACCTTCTAGGGTTATTTTGAAGAGGAGAAAAAGACGCTACACATTCATTGCATCATTTACGAAACGGAGATTGATCACTCAGCCGTGTGCCAGCCGCTGGAGATGAAAGGCCGTCGTTCAACTGTAACGTGTTATACAAATAGGACGCTGTCCTCCGGTGCGGAAAATTCACGACCCGCTGGGTCAGACTGAGGGTGTTTGCTCTGCTTCCCTCACCTGTCTTCTCTCCTGGTAAGAGTGACAGCTAGCTACCCGAGTACTGCCCGCTCACAAACGTTCAGGGCAAAGCTAGCTCTAGTAAGAGAATTTCATAAATGGAAAACATCAGCTGGCATTAGAAAGATCTACGGTGACGAAACCTCTGTGTTTTTGGAAGCCTCACTATCTTGCACCAGAAGGCCGTCCGTGAGGGTATGGTCAGTGACATTTTTCCTATTTGCTGCAGCATTGACAAGCAGGGCCCCAGACCGAGGACAAAGAGGAGGTAGGCCTGCATTCTGGTAGAGAGATTTCAACAGCTCTTCTCCCACAAATCGCCAGGGCTTACCCAAAGCCAAACCTGGCCCTGCCATCATGGGCTTCTCAGGTCCTCCTCCCTCCTGTCTGATCTCCAAGATCGGCAGACTCAGAATGGGGGTGGGGAGAGTCATCATGGGGTCATCCTCGTGGGGAGTGAGGTGCTCATGGGCAGACCTGTGAGAGTTAGGCTCCCAGTGAGAAATGGATGGGACCCGCACCTAAGAGTAATCTAGGGAAGGTTTGTTTACCAAGAGGAACCACAAGGGATCACGTGGTCGCTCAGGGGTGGTAGCCTTGCCGCTGTTACCCCCTTCTAGGCCCACAGAGATGAGGGGAGGGAGCTGAAACCAGAAGCCGGAAAGGGAAGAGCCATCTTCAGACCAATTAGAAATTGCGTCAGCTGGTTGGGCAAGATGCAGGGGGCGGGGCGAGGGCACCGCGGGGGCGGGGGCGGGGGCGGGGGCGGGGGCGGGGGCGGGGGCGGG